TAGAGTGGGGATTCGCGTGGTGCCACACATTTCGTCATCTCCGCCTGATGAAAGGAAATTCATACTTTTAAAAAAATGGACTACAAATACCTACACATATTTACTGTGTTTAAAACATTTTTTAAATTCAAATATCATTTCCAGGAACCAGGTGAACTATCAGGGGAAAACCCTTCCCCAAAACACATGAACAAGGCGGCCCTCCAGTGGTGAAGATAAAGGCAAGACTTGGCTAACATGTTTTTATTATAACTATTCTCACAAAGTAAAGCTGAGGCTGATGAAAACGGTGTAAGTTGTGCAGCTATTAGTAAATTATCTGGTGAATTCCATTTTTATTTTTGAGTGACAGGTACATCACAAATTGTTCAGAGGTGAACTGACTTATTTTCCATATTTTTGTAATCATTGGGTTGCTGCCTTTTGTTTTAGTTTGCTTATAGAAAACAAATGATTTACAGTATATCTGATCTTATTTGAGCATGAAAAAACTTATATAAGCACATTTTTGTACTCCTTTTTACCAAAAGAGGGCAATAGAAACAAATTAACTGCAAGTATTAGTATCAGATCAGCCAACAGGAAGCAACAGTATGTATGAAAAAGCTACACATTCAAACCCATAACTGGGCCTTTCTGAGCGAGCTTCTCATTTTATGCAACTCCCCTCTGACTCAGAGCTTGTGAAAGCAAAGTGAGCTCTGATCCATGAACAAGATAACATTATCAGTCATCTAGCTTCAACAAACGTTTTTGCAAATTTAAACCCCAAAAACAAGATGTAAACACTGCATTTCCCTCTTACTTTCTCAGATGTTAACTTGTTTGATTTAAATGAAATATTTCCACCAAAAGTCTCAGTAACATCCTAATACAGCAGCATTCATCATATAAAGATCAGGGGAAAAGCTAGTGCACAAACAGGAACATTCCTGAAAATTGCACCTACCCATCCTCCCCGTCTCTTCAGCCAGGGAGCCAGGAACTTGCGGACGAACTGTCCCAGACTGTCCACTATGATTTGCACGGTGGTGGGGTAACCGTTTCGGACACAATCCACTGCCAGGGCTCCGGCTACTGCAAACATGGCCACCACCTTACCCCATGTTATACCTGCAGCAGAACAGAACACACATCACCCGGTTATGTTTTATGTCTTTTGTTTTACATCTATGAATAGAGAAGCTTTTCTGATAGGCATCTTTTTTTGCTTCAGATATTCAAACAGTGATTTTGTCTTGCGGTCACACAGCAGTGGTTTGATAAGTAAGAAGCAAAAATATCTCACTACAGTATCGTGAAGCCCTGAGCGTCTATCCTCCATGTGTCCAGTGTTCCAGTGTTTCCTGACTGTTATCAATAAACTGCTTTATTTACACCAACATAAACACTTTGTTTTCCTGTTCTTTTGGGTGCAAATCCTAGTCAACACCCATCTACTCTAGCCTCATGTGAACAAAAAAATAGGTTTGATAATTTAGATATTTTATTCAATTTGCTTTTCTTATTTATTGGCTTAATTTCAGTTAACTGTAAACTTAAATTGCATGACATTATGTTTACTGTAATAAATAACCTAATCTCTTTCATTTTTTCTTCCATCATCTGTTTTATTGCTATTACTTAAAACGTATGTTCTTTAATTGCCCAAATGCAAGTAAAACACATTTGTAATTTTGACCATTTAACTCCTGCTAATTGGAAATGAAACAACGTGTAATGTTGGTCACACCCCCATGTTTGTTACATTACTAAAACGCCCAGGAAGTGTTTTTCACGGTACATTAGCACTGCAATAAACTGCCTGTAATGGTGGTTGAAATAATGGCCTCAGTGTCACGTCTCCAAAAGAGGACAAAAATGAATGGCCCGATCTTAGGAAGGTTACATATTCTGTGACCTGACATGAAGCATGGGAGGCAGTTGGTGTACTTTGTACTGAAACAGACTGTAAATACGAGGTTTAAGTCAACAAACCAGTGCATTTGCGTTAATGTAGCTGATAAGACGTCTTTCCAGCCAGTTATAAATTAAAAAGTGTGAGATTGTGTTGCCTTTGCATGGATGTGGGCGAACACTGACGCAGTTTCTGCTATGGGGAGGTGGACGGGTTCAGAAATGATTTCGCATTCACCACTGGGAAAAGTCATGAAGCTGAAAAATGAACATTCTTTGTCCCTCTTTCTACCTAAACAATCTGATAATTAATGGCATTGAGCCATTTCTGGGCTCAGTTTCCGTGGCAGCTGGGATGTTATAACGACTTCCAGTGATGCAGTGCAGGGCCTAATGGCATTAGTCTCCTGAGGCTAGCATGCATTGTCATGGCTGACCTACAGTGTCAGGGGTTAGAGCGAGCTCTGGCCAAGATTAAATGAGATAACTGTCCATGAAAGCTGTCAGAGGACGTCACATAACGCTCCCTACTGAGAAACAGGCCAAGAATAGAGACAAGATAGTCAGGGATAAACCTGGAGGAGGGCGGAAAGCGGAAGAACAGAAGTGGGAGGCAGGCGAAGATAGATGGATGAGAGACAAGCAGTGTTGATTTTACTGAGGGACACCACAGTGCAGATGGCCGCTTAACCGCCTCTATAAAGAAACATGTGGTTTGATATGTAGATTCACTGGTTTATCCTTTATTGTGGTCATGTTAAGCACTTTCATAGTGAAGAATGACAGAGACACTTTATAGAGCAAATTCCGTACAGCGGGAGAAACAAGATGCATTTTTCTATTTATATTCAGGTTCCAACCCTTCCCAGAAGGCTGGAGCAGCCTGGGTTCACTAGTTTGTTATTCTTCAGGAGGAATCCCACGCTTTTTCCAAAAATGTCATCCTTGTGACGTCTAAACAAGGATAAGTTTAGCAATGCATGACAATTATAAAAAGAGGATCAATTTTGTATCTTTCCTGGAAACATGACTATTTACACAGCGGCCAGACCCTCTAATCTCTCCCAAAGGCCCATACTGAGGACAGAAGGTCACTCTTTATTTGAATACTTCAAAATGTCAGTGGTACTTTATTTAGTGAACAAAGCAGATCTGTTGTCAAGACAACTTGAAACAAGTCCAAGAGCCAACACACACAAGTCGAGACGTAACTAGACCAACCAAACCAAAAGGCATCTCTCAAGACCAAGACTGAGGAAAGATCAGAACAATGGGACATGAAGAGGAAATAACAGGGTGTAGTTTAGTAAAGAAAAAATACATTATGGTTACTCTACCAAGTGACAGACGGTAGACTGCCGGATATCCGACCAACAACCAATTTCAGCGAGTTTAGATGCACTTTCCATCAACTTTTATAGGCTGTGGTATATTTGGATGATACTTCAACATGCTCACCTCCCATCTTTGTCAAAATACTCATCAAATATAATATGTATCAAAATATAACTTGATCCCTAGGACTGTAAGAAATATATATATTGATAAAAGTAGGGTAAACTGACTGCCTAAAATATAACATGTAATTATTGTATTCATTTTAAAACCCTGCAAGCACATTTTATTGTTCCGATTCAAGCAAATGTAAAAGCTTTTGCGCCGATTGCACCAAAAGTAAACCTATGATGTTGGATGTTAAGGACTGTGATAGAACGCAGATTCCACCGTTTCAATTGCATAAAAGTATCCATATGGTGGTGTGTTCTTTATATTATGATGCATATCAGATATTTAGACCCGATTCAGGACCAAAAGTGGGCAGTGTTGTGTAAAGAACAATATCTTAATGTTCTCAAAATAAGGCAGAATACTTTAATTCATGAAACTCCATACCCACAAACAAATCAGTGTCTAAACTTAGAGATCCCAAAAATCAGTGGGAGCTATTATGTGCTTTTAAATGAAGTCTCACTCCACCTACTTATGATTCACAGCCACTCACTCCCACTAAAAGCACCTCGCAGCCAAAAGAGGCTGATGGAAACTGCAGAGTCACACCTGTTAAATCACAGTAACGGCCCTAATCAACAGTCACAGACTCTGTGGAAGTGTAAACCACTTCCTGTGCTGGCTGAAGACTACAGCTCTGTATCCAAATAACATACCGACATACTAGTTATGATGCTTAAGACGAAAAATTGAGTATGTAATACATTCCAACTGCGCTTGGTGTTTGGATTTTGTGTATGTGTGAAATGCTCCGATTTATACCACATAAGCTATAATGCGTGGGCATGAGACGTGAGCTTAATTAAGATACTAAACAAACCCCAAAATGCATTGCATCTAATATGCAATGGCTGCGAGGCAGGCGGTTGAAAATCAATAGTAATCATTACGAATAATGGCAAGTATGTCCGGGTAAAGTTACATATAAAAATTAACTGGAGCCTACTAATTTAACACTAAGCCTGCATATATGCATTTGTGATAAAGGACAAAGCTTGGATCACAATGTTGTGTCAGGATGTCCGAGCGGTCTAAGGTGCCACGCTCGAGGACAGACAAATGGAGGAATCGGTTCAAAACCTACTTCTGACGACGGCAGTAGCTCAGTCTGCAGGGACTTGGCTCTGGAAATTAGTTCAAGTCCTGATCGGACCAAAAGAATACAGTGTGAACTGATAGCTGGAGAGGGGCCAGTTCGCCATCTGGGTACTGCTTGAGCAAGGCATCAAACCCCTTAATGCTCCAGGATGCTCTGCCACACTAATGCATGTGGTCCTGTTTGTATATTTGTTCATGTGTATAAAACTATGCGTGTAATGTAACACCCTGAATTGTATAAAAAAAATTATGTCTTTCTTTCTTTCTTTCTTTCCCCATAAGGCGCATTGATTGATACTTCCGTGTGAACAATCTGTTGGTAATGGCATACTTAATCTTTAGTTTAGTATGCAGTACATGCAGATTGAGGGTGTGCTATGCAGTAAGTTAGAATTTGATGTTGAGCACAGCCTCCATGTTTAGTTTGGATAACGTACAGTCTGCTACATCATCATCACCTTCAGCAACAGCCGTGTACCTGTTGAGAAGATCTCTGTCGCCACTCCGATGAAGGCATCTGAAACCATGTTCTCCATGGCAACAGAGATGTTGAGCTGCCGCGCCACGTTCCTGTACAAACTGGGCTGTATACACTCCAGCTCGTCGCCTAGGTAACAGAGAGGGAGCACATACACACAATAAGAGAGAGAAGCATTAAAAGGCTGTGTAAACCGATTGTTTAAATGACTGGGTTAAACAAGCTTTTAAACAACCTTTACACTGATTCAAAGCTATTTGACTTGTCTGATAGTGGAGTGACTCTGATGTTAGGATGTTCAAAGTAAGACTTTTATATCTCACCAAAATTGGACTCTGGGCACTTTAGCTGCTGTGTTAACTGATTCAAGTCCTCCACATGTAATCAATTTGTTCTAGATATCCATACACACAAAGACATCTCTTTCTCTCATCCTCTGAACCAAGCTTATCAGAGTTTGAAAATGATCAACAGTGCAGTGAAAACTAGGAGTGAATAATCTGGATAAACAAATCTATATATATTGCAATTATTATGACCGATTGTGCATTTGTGATATGATTCACAATATTGGAGGTGAATGTGAATCATTATTCTCATTTTCATTGAAAAATATATACAAAAATAATCATGATGTGACTTATTGCTAGGATCTGTACAAACGAGAGATTATTTCTTTAGAATAATATTTGCACCATAGCATTTAATTTGGTAGAGCATTTTGACACATATGATCCCTTAAACAGATTGCGCTTCCTGGGATGTAGATACAATGAACTTGTCCGATTTGAGATTTCAATAACATTCAGAATAATTGTTCAGCACTAGTGGAAATCATTTAAAGTAATATCTAAAGAGTTATTTTCCTTCTACTTGTTCATATTTTATGTTGTCAATGGTGTATTCCAGCTCTGTTGAGTCATCGCAGCTCTCAGCCTACTTTAATCTAAAAGTAGATTAGCATCTCTGCTTTTGACCCAAGAGCAGTGATCATATCACCGTCACACTGGCTTCCGGCTGAGATCTCACTATATAAGGGTACAAAACATCAAAGTCTATCATTTTGAAGCCAACTTATAATGCTCTAAGAAAAACATTGTAAAGCCCTGTTATTTTTCCAAGAGCACACTCAAACTAACTTTTGCAAAGTCGTAAATCCAAAACGTTCATGTTTATTTTATTTCATGTTGCAACAGTTCGCTCCACAAAAAAGGGATCTCTCACTTTATCCTGTTGGTGAATGTTTTTAAAACCAGCAGGCATTTTTCAATGCGGATCCATCGGATTAAAAGAATGTCGTAATATTATAAAATAAATAAAACACATTTTCAATCTTAATCGTTCTATTAAAAAAAGTATGTGGTCTGTGGTTAAGACATTGACAATAAACCAGAATTTCCTCTGACCGCTCTCCCTAATTTGTTGTGATCCTTCTACTTTCAACACTAGGTATAAATACAAAAGTTTAAATGGCTTAGGACTATCTGTCATTTTTGACTCGCTGACAAACGCTTGGACTTTATTGTTAGGTGTTAGAAGGCTGTGCCGTTACAAGGGAGTGTCTAGGGAGTTTTCTGGTGAGTTTTAGTGTGCAGTGTTTGCTGTGCTGCGCTTTTCTAACCTAGTTAAAAGAATTATGACCAAACCACTTTGTCTTATTTTAACTATATCCTGGGTGTTGGAGGTTCACAGTACACAAAGAAATAACAACCAAGGCCTTGAATGTGCACACATGTTGCTCTAAGATATCTTGGAATTCACTTTTTTCTGAGACTCAACATATCTTTAGGTTTCTCTTACCGAGGCAGAGAAGCACCAAAGAAACCTCAGCAAGCGTTGCGTTTGAGGGAGAGAGGTTGAGTTCAGTTTTGGACCATCCCAGTCCGTTCTGGTTGAGTCTGGACACTATGTAGTCTCTGCACAAGGCTTTGGACTGGGACACCAGCTCCTTCTCAGACAACGATCGGTCAAACACATCCAGGACTTCTGCAGCAAACACAGAGGACCGGCGCAGGACTTCCATATCCTCCTGCGGGGGGATTCTGGGTCAGAGAGTGTCTGACCTCTAGGGATCAGCTGTGTCTCAGCGTGATGTCTCTTAATCCCAGAGGAACAACGTTTAACGAGGTGGACAATATGGCAGCTGTGAGGAGAGAAAAACATGACTAAGAAAGAGACAACTGGTTGAATGCATGATTCACATATCTTAATCTTGAAATGTTTCTGTCAGAATGGGTGTGAGACAAAGACACTTTTATTCAACCCACTAGTGCAAAAATGATAGCATCTAGATTGATCCTGCTATACAGACTTGTTCTACATTAACAAGGGTGGATACAGACACTGATCATCTAAATCAGAAGAGAACCTTACATAAGAATATGATGGAGGCGTTATTGTTGTGAGTCACATTGTGGGATAGTCAAGATATTGCTAAATTTCTTGGGTTATGCAATACTGATACCACAAGATGACAAGGGAAATATGTTTGAGTATGACAGTAACAGCCCTCTAAAATGATCTTAACAACACGTTTTTAAAAAATGCATATTGCAGGCGTTTTTCAGTGCAACATAATGAAAGGAAAACATCTAATATAAAAACACGGTAGATTTATCAATATTTAGAGCTGTTGAACGCAATATCATACTTACATTCAACGTTGTGTCCACATTGAGATGTCCCCGCTTATGATGTAATAAATGTGGTTTGCCAATTTGCCTAATTATTTAGAAAACATTTAACAGCTATCTGGTCAAGTGTATCCCAGCTAAAAGAACCAAACAGTCATGGGAAAACAGCTCGACAACTCTGAAAAGAAGCAGTTTCGGATATTTAGGAAGCAGCGGGATCAATTTAGCCTCAGGTCTTATTCCTCAAAGAGCTCATGTTGTGTTCGGTCCACTTGTTTCGCCGGAAAGCAACGACTGATCGCAGGGACGCAGTGAGAGGACGCCTACCTGTAGATCCACCTTCCTATTGGCGCTCAAAAGGAGCGTTTGATTCATAGTCAGGAAGAGCCCGGAGGAGGAGTTTGACGCCTGCTTTCTTGCCTCCCAGCAAATAAACAGTCGAACCTGACTACGGCGGGCAGAGAGGGAGGTAAATCATCTGCATCTGTATTTTCATTCACAAATCTGTGAAAACTACTCAGAAAGAACCTATTTTGTGTCACTTTTGTATTGTTATTTTACTTACTGATTATCCTGTTTCTATTGTTATTGTAACATAGCATTCCTTGGTGCATGTGCAGTCTGCAGGTGTACGATATGATCTCCTTCCTGAGCAACGTGTTCTTTACCGCAGCCAACATTGTCTCACCTTAATCCCGTGCAGGGCAGATATATATAGATCTGCACATAAAGTAGCCTACTAAGACACACTTAATTGGGGTTTTACATGCTCGTTGTATAAAGCTGTTGTTTTGTAATTTTCTTATTAAATCAAAAATAAAATGAAGCTTTTGTTTTGAAAGGTGATGTCAAAATATTTGATCATGTATTCTACAACGTCATAAAAAGGAAAAATAAGGTCAGTCAAAAGAGAAAAGCTGTTATAAGCAATGTTTAAGGACTCATTCAGACGTTTGATTTCCCTCTATTTCAGGTGTGTTTTATTATCAATATGTTAATCCAAAACGATACTAATTCTGATATGTGATTATGCAAAAAATATCACAGTTATTATGCATATTATTGGAGGAAGTTATTTAACTCATTAATATCGATAGGTTTAAACTAGTTGTTAGTTCAGTGTTTGGCCGCTGAGTGTCGCTGTTGCTCCCTTCACTGTTCAGCTCAAAATTGTTTCCAATGGTCTCAGGGGTTCATTCATTCAGAAAACATAAAGCAATATTACATTCTCTAAACTAATTTGATGAATAAATCATAACTAGTTTGTGTCTTGGAACATAGTTAACTTCTTATTGGTACATTAATATAACACCCTAACATTTGCACGTTTGACTTTTTGTATCAGACTGATCCTTGTGCTCAATATGGCAATGACATGTTTCATATAGATCATGCCAAACAGAGACAAATATAAACCTTTCCTTTTTGATATTTCTTTCTGCCGGTAGAAGAGTCTCCACAAGCTTGGCTGGACCAGAAATGCTCTGCATAAATACTGTAATTCATTCAGTTTAAAAATCACTAATAATATGTCTGACTACACTGACAGGTTATGTTCAGCCAGGTTGGTGATTGACACAGCATTGTGGGACCGGTTTACCTTTGACAGAGTGGTAATCATACTTCTAGTGGAGCTTTAGCACTAGAAAAAGCAACATAAAGTAGAATTATTATTATTATAATTATAGTAAACCTCAATTGACTTGCCCAAACTTGTGTGAACCATTGTCCCTTCTACTAAAAATAATACCATATCATTATCACGTTAAACTGCAATCTCAGTTTTTTTTTAATAGTCCATACATTAATACGTTGGTTCCTGTTGATATTTCTTTATAAAACAAAACCTGTGTCCGGAGAGATTGAGTTTTCAGTGTTCAGCATGTTGATGGGTGAGTTTCTAAGTGATCCTGTGAAAAGAAAAGAGTGACTTTATAAGAAAACCTCGCCCCAGTTTGAGTCAGTATTCACAATCATTTGTCCTGATGAGAAACCTACACTTTCAAATAGACTTACAACTCACCCGTCCCTAGTTTGTATAACAGGTTGTACAGAGTATTATTGTATAGTAAGTTGAAGTCATTGTTTCAATGTTTTTGGTCAATTTAAGTTATCCAGTTTATTATAGGTTGGTTTAGTTTAAGCTAGTTTAGTTCGGTTTAGTTTAGTTCAGTTAAGCTTAGTTTAGTTTAGACGTTTTGAACTTATTCAACTCAAAATCAAAAATCAAAATGTATTAAATCAGTGACACGTCTTTTATTTTGTAGTATTGACAAACCAAAACAAATGTATACTGACCTGAAAAGGTTTAGAAGCCTTAGCTTATTTCACCAACATAACTTTTTTGTGTAAAATGATCCTTAAATGTATCATATGTTTTTTTTAATTGAGTAATTAAAACAAAAATAAATAAAAGATATATAATTTTTATTTTAAATACCTCAGAAGTCCCGAACCAAAATGAATTACACATTGTTCAGTTTTATAATTGTTATTTTGTATTTTATTATATATATTTTACTTTGAATTGATTTGAAATGTATTGCAATGAATGAAACACAGCTACAGTTGCCAACCATATTACCATATTGTGAAACAACAAATTCTCTACATAAGACACCTTGAATGGAATCTAGTTATGTCTCATTACACATAACCACACAGTGCAGCTCTAGGAGAACATATCACCGACAGGTGGGTTTACAAGCTTCGGTGACTCTTTTGTTTAACAATTTCCCCTGCTATTTAAAAAAATACTGCATTGCATGTCCACATTCATGATCACTGACTTAGTTCATTCAAGTGAAGCAGCTGAGCTCAGCCTTTAACTTCCTGAGGAATCTTCTCTGTTACATTTTTCACAATTAGCTCATTGATTATGAGCTGGTATGTTTCAAGGCCGCTGTCTATCCTCTGGCTGTGCAATTAGACAGAGAACTATGTGCTACGGATGTTATGCTGTTTTGTTATTTGTTAGTTTCTGATGAATTCTATTTGGCCAAACCTTGTCTTACATATTAAGCCAATGTGAAACAGTCATAAGACCTACAAGAACAGGGAGTGTGTTGTAGTGTGTAGTGTGATGCCGGCTATGAAAAACAGCTGACCAAGTGGTAAGAGACAACAGCTCCTATTCTCCCATTCAATTTTGGTGAAAAACATACAAGAGTGCAAAACATGGAAACGTTTCTGCCGTGCTTTGCTTTCCGTTCATCTTTAACGTGGACAAAGGGGGCTATATTAATTTTATTATTTATATTTATAGAGTTCAGTTAAAAACATCGACAAAATGCAACAACCCTTATTTAAACCAACACATTTTGATATTACCTGAGCTGCACACAAACAAAAGAAAATGACTTATCAAAAGTAAGAAACAAGTTATCTGCATGAATCCTTCACTTGATGTGACTGTATTAACTTGTTTAAAATGAAAAGTCTTTAGGTTGACTTACAGAATCTGTCTAGGGACTACAGATGAAAAATAGCCTCTTGGCCAACTCTGGCACATTTACAGAAATGATGATTAATGTGCACTGTCCCTGTTAAATAAAGACATTAGTTAATTAATTAACTTGAATACAACAATGCTTTATCATATTGACAAACAATTCCCAATCCTTGACTGCAGGCAGCTCTGCAAGAAATTATATAGTGCAGCTTCTCCTTTGCAGAAACCCTTGTTGTGTAAACAGTATACATCGCCCTCTTGAGAGATCAATGAGTGAAACTGAACAGGTGAACATTTTTAAAAAGCTCAGTTTCTCTTCCATTTGATATGTTGCTGACCTGAGGCAATTGAGACTGAGTGCCACACCTTCAAGTGGCCATTCAGTAGCCACTGGTCAAGCCTTCTCTGGAAAAAATAATACCAAGAAATGTTGTCTACCTGAAAAACGAACAAACATTGAACTTAACATCTTAAAACTGTAGTGAAATTCTTGGAGCAAAGAACTAGAAGAGTATACTGGAGTGGAATGGATGTCAGATACTGAAGATTTATTGGAAGGAGAATTTACACTTTCTGAGAGTAGTGACACATCCTCCTTCCCAACTGTGAAGTCCTCGTCCCCTTGTGCCTGCCACTTCACCATTCCTAAGAGCAGAATTCACATTAAACTACAAGACGCAGCAAATCCTGTCCCTGTCAGGGTCAAACTGTCCTCAGGGAGGTTCTACCCGATAAGATGGACTCCCAGATGTCTCTCCGGCTCTTCTCCGTCAACTTTGTTCTGTTATTGTCTGAAGAAGAGATTGTTTTGTATTCATATCTAATACACAGCTACAGCTGAAGCCTTTATTTGATCAATCACACAGAGAGAATGCTGAAGCCCAAGGCCGTTTGCCTGCCTATGAAAGAGGAGTGAGAGAAGAGGTAAAAGCTAAGAACTAAGCGACCTCTGAACAATCAAATCAAAAACCATATCAGCATGTTATATTTGTGCATAAATGAAACATGTATCGATTTAATGTCTGTGGTTTTCATGCATGTATTTAATTGAAGAGCCACCATGTGTTAAACTGTCATTCAATATGTAAACAGTCAGTGATGACTCTTTCCCCACCCTCCCTTCTGTCCCTCTTCCTCTCGTGTAGAGATTCTTTTCATTCCAGTCTGCCTTTTATCTATCGTACGACTTGGGGAGTACATTTCCAACTTTACGCAGGCCTCACGCCCATGCCTGATGAAACAGGTTAAACCAGAAGCTCTGGAGGACTCGTCATGGCGGCAAGGATTGGACGGGTACCCAACCTCTGCGACAGGGATGGGCAACTTTAAAAGTGACGTTAGGTTAGTTAACATAGGAAATTTCACCTTTAGCCTAAATCCTGTTTTAGGGACATGAATGAAGTTGAAATATAAAAACCTTCCTTATTTCCTTTTAAACTATTCAGATAATTCACAAAAAAGAAACCCTGTGACCTCGTAGGTTAATTATTGTGCAACCTTTATCAAAATGTTGTTGTTTTAGCCTAGTTTGCTAATTAACTGAAGCATCTTCCTTTTGATACTGTTTATTTTTTAACCTGTAACTTTGTTTGTCAATAAGTGTGTCATATTTTGCCCCAGAGTGTGGATTTCTTTAACCAAGGCATGTAGCTCCATGACCCCATCCCCTTTACCACCATTGATGAGGCAGGACCAATCGCAGAGAGGCTAAGTGAGGATATGAAGGTGGGGCTAAGCACTGAAACAGGGTGTGGTCCTGAAACTAGCAAGATTTGTAGTAGTGCCCCGGGGTTTAAATGGACTGCCTGCCTGACTGACATTCCCATAGTTATCTTAGTTTGCTCTGTCTCTTGCTTCTTTTCCATTTCTTACCTGTGAAGCCTGTGTTGGATTTCCAACATTTGAGGACATCTGGAGGCTTCCACCCACAGGATATCTCTGCATGTGTCTGGTTTCCACCTGATCACCTCTCACTGCTGCTGCTGATCTGTTTGATTCTCTGGATTGAGTGCTGCCTGCTGTGGCTTTGCAGCTGCTTTCCTCACACACAGGAGTAAGGACTCAGCCGGTGAGTCACAACTGCAAGTATTTTAGCTTTTTCAGAAATGTGAGATTTGTACCTGTGCTTCTCCTGTGGAAGTGTTGATTGAATGTTTGTTTTAAACTTTTCATGGTTTAAAATGGCAGACACATCTCCCATTTAACAGTTCATTATAGTTTATCTGGAATAGGACAGCAAAACGTTGATACTGTTGCTTTAAATAGAGTAAACTGTGTAGTTTCCCTCCCTGGAAATCCCTGATCAGCTTGTATCTTGGGAGTTTAGGAGGTTGGCTACGCTGGCTATAAGGGCCAAGTTCGTTGCCTCACCTGTTTGACTTGCTCTGTTAGTCAGCAAGAGAGTATTTCATTGTCTTCACATTGACTGAAGGGATCAGATGTTTCACAATCCTTATTTTAACGGTCATAGTTGTTTTTTTTAACGGTCTTAATTTTTTTTTTGAGTCATTGTTTTCTTTTTCAGTTGCTGAATTAAATAAATAAAGCTTTTCGTTTTTTAATCGAGGCACACATGGTGCTAAAACAGTAAGGATATGTAGTTTAAACGCTACATTTTTGATTAGGCAGTGAAATTAGCTCCTAGTACAGATTTGTCATTATTATTTTTTTAACACAAGGGCACTCAGGGGAGTTTGAGCTTGTGCAGCTGTCTCCTGTTTGTTCAGTCAGTGAGGAAGCAGGTGGACAGGTTGCTTTGTCACTTACCTGCCCAACCAAACTCACTCAGCTCGGCTTCATCTCCTGGTTCCTGACTGTTTGTCTTTTCTTTTCTTTCAGTTGTGATTATAGGACAAGAAACAAGGAGTCATCATGTCGCAAACAGCTGTATCGACCATTTCAAAATTCTACAGTTTTGTAGAATTGAGGACTGGTAAGTGTCTTTGTCACTTTAACAGTTTTTACCCCACTGCTTTGTTAAGATATGAATGAATGACTGCTGATCTCATGGAATAATGATACAATTTATGGTTTGTAAAGGGTAGTTTCCTAAACTACTTTATGAATCTGGCAAAACTGTGTATAAACTGCATTTAGTTTTAACCAGATATCTGTGTGTGTATCCATTACTGACATGCCTTTTTTAAGATGAGAAATGTGTATTTTTGTGTTCCCCAGATGAACGAATCAAAAGTTATCCCCTCATGCAGAGACCTGTAGGGATGAACCTCATCCTGTTGACCTATGTAATCTTCTCAAAGTACATTGGACCTCGCCTGATGGCAAACAGGAAGCCCTTTCATCTCAACACAGCCATGATTGTCTACAACCTCAGCATGGTTTTACTAAATGCCTTCATTGTCTATGAGGTAAACTAGAAGATCAAGCAATTTGCTGACTAAAATTCCCATTTATTCCCAAACCTGAGATGTTAATAAGTTGTTGTTTTATTTACATCTAGTTCCTGATGGCCGGATGGGCAACCACCTACACGTGGAAATGTGACCTCGTTGACACCTCAACCACCCCTCAGGCTTATCGGGTAAGCCAGTCCACTGTTTTTAATTTGCCTCAGAGCAAAGAAGCTCTTAGGCCTACTACTAAAATTATTCTGACTATTAAAAGTGTGTATGGAAGGCTATTACTGGCAGAAATGAGGGGAAACTAATTTTGTTTTGCATTTCAATAATACAGTTGAAATGTTGAATCCTAGAGTTTTTGAGATTAACCAATATTTATTTGGAAAATTTGACTTTATTTTCAAAGTTCAAAATAAAGATTTTCCTTTTTGGCCATAATGCTCTTTTGTGGTTTGTAACTTTTCTGAAGGCTGAGAAAACTAAGATTATTGTCTGGTTAAGATGAATATATGAATCTTTGACATTAATTTTCTTATTTTTCTTTCCCCAGATGATTCGAGCGTGTTACATGTTTTATATGTCAAAATATTTCGAACTCCTTGACACGGTAAGGACATTCTCATCTCAAACATTTTCCTTATTTGATTATCTGACCTTCTAGAGACAAGGCTTTTGTGCCTGTAAACTTATGCTTATCCTACTTTTTTTAATTTTTAGGTATTCTTTGTGCTGAGGAAGAAACAAAGCCAGATCACATTTCTGCACGTTTTCCATCACTCCTTCATGCCCTGGACGTGGTGGTGGGGCATCACCCTGACTCCTGGTAAGGTTTACTCTGCATCACATCAAAGTAATCCATTTCACACACATAATATGCATAAACAAACTATTTTAGCTCTAGAAATGGCTTAAAATGTCCTTAAATTATATATTGCGAGTGTGCTACTATGAATCCAAAAGAATGAAAGTTCAACGCCCAAACAATATTTGAAGAGATCCCTGTACAGTTTTAAAAAAAAAGTTTAATCAAATAATTTCCTGTTTTCCCCCTTTCAAGCTGGAGGAATGGGCTGCTTCCATGCCATGGTGAATGCAGTTGTCCACGTTATCATGTACTTCTACTACCTACTCTCTGCTTCAGGACCTCGCTTCCAGAAATACCTTTGGTGGAAAAAATACATGACCGCCATCCAGCTTGTATGTCCTATAATATTACTGGCATATATTATGATTTTTACATTGGATCGATCGTAGAATAAGATTTTCAATAACAATTTCTCCTTTCTCTGTTTTTTCACAGATACAGTTTGTCATCGTCTCAGCTCACATCAGCCAGTACTACTTCCTGGAGAAGTGTGACTACCAGATTCCAATGTATATCCACTTGATTTGGATGTATGGCACCTTCTTCTTCCTCCTCTTCTCTAATTTCTGGATTCAGGCCTACATTAAGGGAAAGCGGCTTCCTTCTGTGGAGGAAATGCCAAAACAGAACGGCTCAGCCAGTAAACCTATCGCTGTGTTGGCCAACGGGAAACACATGGAGAATGGAAATGGGCACCACCACACCAACGGCCATTTCGTCATGAGTAACCTCGTCATGGGCAAAGTAAAGGATATCTAACTTTGTGACTTTGGAAATCAGGAGGAGACATACAAGAAGTCGATATAGAGCTACCTTGAAAGTCTCATCCAGCATTCAGACCTTGTAGCATATTGGATTGGCACAATTTCAATATGTTACTTCTAAACTTTACATGTTCTATATACATTTAGTCTTATGCACACTTGTTTTTGATGGGTGTTTTGGTGAAGATCTCTTCTTACCACATTGTGTTTGTTAGTTGTTGTGAAAACGATTAACTGTGATGAACACTGTATGAAGATTGGTGCTCACTTTGTCACTGATGGTATCTTCAACTCGGGCTTGGTCCGCACCAGCCTGACTTACTGTCTAGCGGCAGGACTATTGTTCCCTGGGTTTATCACACAGTTTCCACTAAAGACCAGTAAATTGAAACACCTGCTACAAAACAAAGCTGTTGTAAATGTCAAATATTCAGTTTTGTTGTTTTTATTTATCTTTTTGAAATAAATCTTTTTAGATAAAGGTCTGTGTCATTTGGAAAGCAGTTAGGGTGTGCACTTTTCAAAAAGACATACCACACCTCAATTTTATTTTTGGAATTGTGGAAAATAAATGTTATACTGTATATTACAGTATTAATGCATTTAGCATACTTAGGTAGTGACATATAAACTGTTTTCCATTTTGAGATTTGGAACCCGGCATGGTCTGTTTCTCAGCACACTGCAGGGGCTCGCAGGAAGTTAATACACTTCCCATCAGAAAAAAGAGCACTGTTTCTGATTATCCCTGCAGAATGAATGTTTTGTAAACCTACCAGTGTTTTTACTGTTTTATATTACACATGTGCACTGATGACAGATGAAGTAGTTTTGAAGTACTGCCAGCCTTTTCAAATTTCATTTGATATTTGGCATAAATACTTCAGATTGGATGTCAAAGTGTATCCTCGAGCTGTTTGTTACAATGAACCTTCAATGTTTAGTAGATTAACCTGTTTCTGACTTAAGCAGAAATAAAGATGTTTTGTAATTCTGTTACTTGTTAGACGCTTTTATCCAAAGCAACTTACATACTCAATACTGTTGACAATCCCCGCAATTTGGGGTGAAGTGTCTTGCCCAGGGACACAACGATATGCTGACTGCAGTGGGGTTCGAACCTGTGCTCCCCTGATACCACCAACGCCACATGTCTCCCAGAGAATTCTTGTTCTCAACTATTTCACATAACTGAATCATTTATACTTTAATAATTGTTTACACGAGGTGAATCCTTAGATTCTAAGAGTGAAAGAGGACAAAGCATCAATACAAGGAAATGGATTAATGTATATAAAAACCAAAAAAAGAACTCAAAACATGAATGTAATGCAGTTGCGCAGGTTGGTTCGAGATGAACTGCAGATAATCTGACAGTCGCATAGTGATTGGTATCTGTGCCCTTGGAATCAGAAATTCTTCACATTCCCACATTGTTGCATATTAGCAAGTCATGCTATTCAAACCAGTACTGGAGTTGATAAAAAAAAAAAAACTGTCAATTAAAAATGACGAGAGAAAAGGTCACAGCATTAGTTATAAATTCCTATAAATCCTAAATATTGACATATCTAGATTACACAGCTACAAGGTCAAAGTTAACAAATCCAGTAAGAAAATACATTAGTTTTGTGTGAGACTTACATTAAACTACTTATCAGAAGCTGGGCTTGAGAGTAATCAACTCATGTTAATCAGTTACCATGCATCATTGAAATAGGGACACTGAAACTGCAGCAGGTGTTGGTTAAATATCAGATATGGTGACCTCAACAGGACGTTTAGTGAATTCTATAGAAAACACATCAAGCGGGTTTGGAAATATGCACGGTGATGTGTATAACAGTTCCTGAGGACACAGATTTAAGTGATCAGAAGTTGAACTCAAACCAGAGGCAAGCTGCATTTTGGGCAAGAACAAAAAACATAAAATGTGGGTTGGTAGATGTTAGGATATGGCACACATTTAAAAAAGGCTATCACCATTATGTGAATTATTAGCACATGCCAGTTAAATGACAAACAAAACATTGGGTAATCAAAGAATTTATTTAAAACAAAGGCATATACACTTTCTGCTTCAAAACATGATTATTCCTGTATAAACACTTTGGAACAATTACAACACTGCAGGGACTTGTCAGTTACAGCTAAAACACTGGGTAGATATCTTTATTATGGATGAAATAAAAAATGTGCGCATGGACAGGAAATCCTTTCATAAGACAAAGCACATCATCTGATAGACTGGTGAATGACACCACTATTTGATTTGGCCAGCCTCTCTTTGGCCTTCTTCTTAATAGGATCCAGTTCAAAGCTCTTCCACATACGGATGGTCTCGTCTCCAGCAACAGTCGCAACGGTGGAGAAGTCTGGGCTCAGAATCAAACTGAGAACTCTTTCCTCGTGGCCTGTAATTAAAAAAAAACACATTCAGACCAACGGGAAGCAAACAATGTTGATAGTTTCTTCCATTTTTATTTTTGTTCCTTTACTCCCCCATGTCTTGTCTTTTTACCGACTTACCATTGAGTTCTGCAACCCTTGTTAGAGAGGGGTACTTCCAGATAACTACATTGTTGTGGGCATATCCATGGGCGGAGACCAGCTCCTTGTAGTTTGGTGCGAACACCAGGGATGAAACCTGAAATGCAAAGTTATCGTTTATGATGAGAAAAGGGACAACCCCCATGTTGTTATGTTGAAGTTAAATACATTTTCAAATGTAATCCTTTTTGACTGAAATAAGCATTGAGGTTCTAGCTGTGGTATGTACCTGGGACTGAGTGTCAAGCGAACTGATGCAGGAGCCACTGTTTACATTCCAGATGCGAATGTGACGGTCACTGGTTCCACCTCCAGATGCCAGGATGTTTGGCTGCCACGGACACCAGGCCAAAGCCTAGAATGTCAACACAACCAAAAGTTAGTTTTTCAAGCTTTTACAGTCTATGGAATAAATTGTGGCTGGTATTACTGCAGTTCTGGAGAACTGCAGTAGCCTTTGTGTCAAATACAAATGCTACTGCAGTTCTGGAGAACTGCGGCAGCATTTGTGTCAAATGCTAAAGGCTGCATGTAGAGCTAGAGTTTGTCTGTTTTGAGCTAACATATAAACATGGTGGTGCAACATAGCAGAATCTGAAATAAAAGTGAGTGTAGAAAATGGCTAAGCAAATCACTTGGGCCATTTTGATGCTCACCTTAACAGCTCCTTGATGTTCACTCCAGCAGTGGACGGCCTGGTTGGCGGGGCCATCCTGCACACGGGGCCAAACGTACACCATGTTGTCATTGCCCCCACTGGCCAGGTATCGCCCATCAGGGGACCACTGCAGCCCACACACTTCCTGTGAGTGGCCAGTGAGAGTCGCAATGTGGTGGTTTGCCACCCTCACATCATGATGGTGGATGTGTCCTGATCTTGAGCCACTAGGATAGAGAGAAACATATTTGAGTCTAACAAACACGCACAACTAGAAGTTTGTCTTTTGTATCAGAAATTTGGAAAAAAAATGTACCTGGAAAGAACATGGTCATTCCAGCTCAGGCTCGCAACTCTGGACGTGTGGCTGGCCATGCTGCGGAGATGCTTCTGGTTGTAAACATCCCATAACTAAGAAAATAAAATGTCATAATTAAAAGCAAATAAGAAAGCAGTTATTTTATTGCCACATGTCCTTATTTTAAATACAATGTGCATGCCTTTTATATAATTACATTTTCATCATCTCTATCTTTACTTTGCTGTAACTTCCCATTTGTGGGATTATTGTGTACTCAAGTCGTATGTTCCTCAGCGCACTAACCTGAGTTTGGCAGTCACTAGTTCCAATAGCGAGGTAGCTTCCCTCTTTGGTCCAGGACAGTGAGCAGATGTAGTCCTCCTCACGTTCCAGCTTCATGAGAAGAGTGATCTCACCTTGACTGGCATCCAACAGGTAAACACAGTTATGAAGCGCCACAGCCAAAACATTGCAACTGCTCCAGTCAAGCAAATTCAAATCTGTGGAGAAAAAAAAAGACAATTAATGCTGGCTAATTGTACAGTAGCACCTTCTTGCATAAAGCTCAAATATGTACAACATCTTTAGATTTAGTATAGAAATATAATAGAGTGACCGATTTCCGACATGAACCAAATTTGTGATAAATTATGTTTAATCACTTGTATGCAGCAGTGTTAAAGGAACAACCTCGAAGTGCCAAACTTACAGAAATCATTACGAAACTCAGGAGCATCCAAGATTCTGTCAGGAGTTGAAGAAATGTGCCGTGTCTTTTTGACAGAGGCAGGTGTTGCACCCTGACTGTAAAGCACTTTCAAGTTGTTTTGATACCCTGTAAATAGGACAAAATAAATGGTTAATTCCCAGACACCCCCTTTATATGTATGCAATATTCTGGATGCAGCATGTTGACAAACACATATCTTACCTTCTGGAGCATTCAGCGGCTTCCCTCCAAGATGCAGGATCTTTGCCTCTTCAATGTTGTATCCGTTTAGTGACATCGACATGGCCTTTTGGTTTTCCTTTAGAGACACACATGATCTTAATAAATACAATATTTATTTAACTATAGGATCACTAAAAGATAAATCAATATGTTTTAAACATACCGATGTTGCATTTTGTTCGTTTGTGTCCACAGTTTCATTCTCCTTAGTGAGCAGAAAGCTTGCAACATCCATTTGTTTGCTGTTTCTGGTAGGTATGAAGCGGTCGCATCCCATCTTAGAGGGTGTTTGTTTTTTATTTTTGCCTACAATACAAAAAAAAGTGGTTAAAATCTCCACAAATAAAACACAGAGCGTTTTTACGTTGCATGGATAGAGTTGCACAAACTACCTGGTGTTTTGTTGGGCGTTTTTGTTGTACTAAGAGACACATTGGCAGACTTGCCAGGCGACAGGCCGTTCAGCGCAGAGGCGTTAGAAGAGCTGGCCTTCCTCTGCCACCTTGCCATGGGAGCGTTTGTGATGGGCATATCCAGCTTCAGGATGCTGTGGATGTCGTTCTCAAACCCGAACTGCGCCATTTTATCTAGGTTTTCACACAGCCTGTCAGGGAAAATAGTAATAAGTTAACACAGTAATAATATTAACACGGTCCGTAGAGTAATGGGCGACAAATGCTAACGCTCGGATCCAACTTCAGATTCTGCAGCGGCTGATGTGAGCCAGAAAACGTTTTTAATTGAATTCGGCAAAATAATCAAACAAGAAGTCGTTTCCCAGCAGCTTAACCCGTGTAGCGTTCAAGTGTTATAATTATATTTCGTTTATCATAGCTAGTTGACCATGAAGTGAATGATAAAAGGTTAGCATTCAATTCAGCATTGAAAACAGCTTAAATATTATATTCAAAAGTAGGCTTTTACAATGAAAATATTATGACCTCACCTCTTGAATGAAACGTTGACTTTCCTGCAGCAAACCCTGTTGTTCCTCTCTCGTTTCTTTCTAAAGTTTGAATT